ATGCATGTGGTGTCGCAATTTGGCGGTTGGATGTGTGATGTGGACCATTTAAAATACAGACGCAACATATTTTTTTTTGTTTTTGTTAGACTATATGTTCAGAGGACATATCAGGATATATACGTGTATAAGTTGGCGAAATAATTAAAATTTGTTTATATATAATAAATGGTTTAGTAGATAGAGTGTGACAACTTAGAAACAATAAGAATTGTCGTTTTTGTTTCACGAACAAAATTTATCTAATGAGGCTCTAGCTTCTAGTCTTTGTTGGATAGGTCTAATTGATCGAATACCTATTTATCGACGCATAACTGCTGGAAGAAAAATTACCTCAATACAGTATTCCTCCCAAAAGTGTAAAGAAAAAGTCAAATGTTCAGCACACTCGAAAACACACAATGAATGCGAAACCATGGACCAGAAAGAATGTTCCTAGGATATTGTGTATAAAATATTATAAAAACACTATTCGTCGTTGGTTTCTGTTAATACCCTATTGAAAAATATTTTTTACCGGAATGTCATTTCCAGTAAAAGTCTATTTTACTGGATTATGGGACTGTTTTCACTTCCAGTAAAGCCGTAGTTTACCGGAATGTCACCGGGTACTTTACTGGAATGTTACCGGTTGTTTTACAGGAATATCACCGGATTTTTATCGGAATGGTACCAGATTTTTTACCAGAATGTCACCGGATTCGTACCGGAAATATATTTCCAGTAAAAATATATTTTACTGGATTATGGGACTCTTTTCACTTCCAGTAAAGCCACAATTTAGCAGAAGATCACCAGATTGGCCGGGATTTACCGTGTTTTTTTTTTCTTTTTTCGGACGTCAACGGAAGGCACTTAGGAGGAAGCTGGTGAACTGTGGTTGGTGTAACCTACCTAAAAATCCGGTATAACTTTTCGCTATCCGGATTATGGAACCGGAAAGCTATCTGGACTCTATCCGGATTCTATCTGGAGTTTAGGTTTTCAGAAATTATTCCTTTGTCTACAATCTGGATTTTGGGTTTCCAGAAACAAATTTCCGGTTCCATAATCCGGATAGGGAAAAGTTATACCGGATTTTTCGGTAGGGTATGTTTACCAGATGCTGGACGATTCGCTAACAATTAAAGTGGTTAGTCCATATAGACCTGAGGGTTCTATGCATTTATTTAACAGGGTCGATACCAGTGAAACAATTTGCAGAGCTGTAGGCAAAAGCAATCAGACCAAATAGGAACAACCAAGTCCTTTGCCGCAAAAGATATCTTTCAAGGTACTCACAATGCCGCTGGGTAAATTCCTAGACGCACGGTAGTTCAACTAATAAAACCGCGCAGGTGCACCACACGGACACACACACGTATACTGTCAGTAGCACGCCTAGCGAAAACCACGACCGCGCGGAACGAACATCCGCCGCCGTAGAGAATTCCCGGGCACACTCACGATGTCGTCCCTGATGCCGTCGCCGCGGGTGCGCCAGGCGTCAGTAGCACGCTTAGCGAAAACCACGACCGCGTGGAACGAACATCCGCTGCCGTAGAGAAATCCCGGGCACACTCACGATGTCGTCCCTGCTGCCGTCGCCGCTGGTGCACCAGGCATCAGTAGCACGCTTAGCGAAAACCACGACCGCGCGGAGCGAACATCCGCCTCCCTTGAAAAATCCTGGGCACACTCACGATGTCGTCCCTGATGCCGTCGCCGCGGGTGCACCAGGCATCAGTAGCGCGCTTCGCGAAAACCACGAATTCGCGAAACGAACATCCGCCGACGTTGAGAAATCTTGTGCAGTCTTTTTCGCTCGCTGGATGCTTCTGAAGGTGGACGGACAGAGGCGTAAGAAGCAGGTCACTGAAAAATATATTCTTTCCATCTGCACACCCAGCTGCTTTGGAAGATATAGGCCCCCCACATACAGTAAAAACTCGTTAATGCGAACCGCAAGAAGAAGCCGCCTCAGTTCGAATTAACGAAAGTTGGAACAAACGAAAGTGAAGTAACGGCCTTTCCTTCTCCCGACACAGCACGGAAAACAAAGTCGTAACGCTCGTGGAATCGGTGCAGCCACCCATCTGAAGCAGCAAAGTCGTCATAAACCAGCTGCTGGGCGAAGTCCGCTGCCTCGCCAGCATGACTGGGCCGCCCAGTGGAATATCGTGTGCACGCATGTCCTTAATCCAAAGCAGAAGCGTTTTCTCGAGGTCGGGATACTTTCTGGGCCGCATCCTCTTCCTTTCGTTGGCAACTTCTGCCGCCATAGCGTGCTTTTCGGTATTGCACGCTTCTTCGCAATTTCTTGCTTAGACAAGATTCCGGCGTCCGCTTCCCGCAGGATGTCACTCTTGTTTTGGCACGGTATTTGCCGCGGGCACACGCCATCGTCAAGTCGCAGCTCTGGGTCCGGCGCCACACCACCGATGTCCGCCGAAACAAACTTTAGCCGAGGCTTAGCAACACCACAAGGAATCGCGACGGCCGCTACCCCCAAAGCTGAAAACAAACACGTCCGACGGAGACTGCCGAGACAGACGTGCGTGTGTGTGTGTGTGTGTGTAGGTGTTCTAAAAGAGGGGGGGGGGGGAAGGGGGAGGGGAGGAGAGGGTTTAATTGCGTGTGCGCACCGGAGACTTTTTTTTTTTTTTTATGGGCGGGTCGGCGCACGCAAGGAGTCTCGGACGTCACGTGCACGTAGCACGGAGAGGATGCAGCCGCCGCTGCCTTCTGGCCGCCTCCGCGCCGGTCCTTCTCTCGCCGTTCTCTCCGTTTCGGAGGCGACGCAGCCTCCCGTGTAGGGCAAGTTTCTAGGAAATCCGGGTCGTCTGGTATATGAAAGTGGCTGCCGGGGACATCCCAGCGAAATCTGTTTGCCGGCAAATAATCTACCAAAGACATGGTAAATTGGTTTCGGATGAAAACGGGTGAAAGTGCCCACTTTTTTGATCGTCAAATCAGTTCACTGCACGTACTTTTTGAGGATTGCAACGTCGTCCCGAGCTAAAACTCGCACTCACGAGAATGCCGCTCGAGTGGTCTCGTACCTGCTCCGGCCCAGACTTTTGCCTGTCACAAATATCAAGTTGCCGGTGATCGCTGCCCACCGTTTTGGGTCGTCAAAACAGTTCGCTGCACGCACTTCTTGCAGAATTGCAACGTCGTTTCGAGCTAAAACACGCACTCACGAGAATGCCGCTGCATTGGCGGCCGCCATTACAAACTCTGTCCCCTTGCTCGTCTTGGCCTCCTTGACTTAAGCGGTTCCCCTTGCGTCGGCTTCCAGTGATGCTTGGTGTCCGGCAAACGAGAGTGGCTTCCGGTAGGATTCCAGCGGCGGGTAATCGAAAGTGGTTCTGGTAAGCTTCCCGCGAAAGTGGCTACACTGGTTTCTGATGAAAATTAGTGGAAATTAACCCGTTCCCGCCGAATGTTACTGGAAGTTTTTGCCGGATTTTAACCGTCAGCGGCTCCGGCAAAAGGTCCAGCGAAATCTGGTCACTGGAAGTGGCGGCCGGTAATGTTTCCACCAAAAAACTGGTCAACTACGCTGGTTTCTGGTGAAAGTGAGTGGAAATTAGCCCGTTTCCACCGAATGTCACTGGAAGTTTTTGCCGGAATTTTCAATAGGGTAATCATCAAATATATACGGTAAAACAAAAAAATAACGACGAAACTTGTTATGACAAACATACGACAGTGCAACGAATTACGCCGGCAGTTTTTCTTTGTTTGGTTTTGTATAAGCGTTGAAGGTGGGTCTTATGAAAAATCTGATATATAAAAAAAATCATATTTGAAAAAAAAATTTTACCTTTTTGAAGTACAAATGCCAGATTGCACATGACTTTTTCAGTAGACTAACAAGGAAACTCTAAAAAGCGTTAATTCTTGAGTATTGCGTGGTCAAATACACCAACCGTATTTATAAAACAAAGAGCATTATGAAGGCGATTATATAACACGTACTGTTTTTTAAGCACTTTGCATTTTTTAACGAAAGCTCCACATGTCGCCACTGATAGAAAATACTGAAGGAATCCCAGTCTTATGTATTGAGAAGGAACGCGCTTGGGACATTATTTGTAATCTGACGAAAGGTTTCGGGCTAGTGATTGTTCCAGAAATATGCCTATTCAATAATTCGACATTATACGTACTGTCCTTCTACGTGTATTCACAAGCTGTTGCCGCGTGCAATCTTTAAGTCACTTTAAGGCACACAGATTTTCAGGATAATAATGAGCAATGATTTAGTTGCGCCATATTGTGTCGTAAGCTACATATGTTGGTGCACGACCAACTATGTGATAATGAAAGAGGGGGTAGCGTACTCTGTAAACAGTAGATATATTAACGTTTGCTGATGTGTCTGCAGATAGAAGTGTGTGACAGTGATCCGCAGGATCCGCAGTGCTTTCATCGATTCCCTGTAATATTTACTGTGTTCTCAGCCCTACACTTTGTATTTGTTTAAGTTGTTTTCGCTAAACAGACCATTTAACACGTACAGTAGATGTATTGGCCTGCATCCTGCAAAAAACGGGATAAAAATTGGATTCGCATACTTAATTTGAAATATGCACTCAAATACTAAGCTTTCACATTATTTTTTGTATTTAATGAATAAGCATTGCTAGTTCGGGAAACGTACTGCATTCCTGGAGTGGGAGAGGGAGAGCAGAAGCAAAGACGGGACAGATTTTTTGTGTCTAGAGTGTGATTTCGTATGCTCGTGGCTTTAATGAGCAAAACGTATGATACGATTCATTCCTGAAAGTAGGGATTTGCTGCTATTAAAAAACGATTTCTAAAAATAGTTACATATCTAAGTTTTTACTGTGTTTGCAGTAGCGAAGAGCTTTGTAGACAGTACACCTCGTTACCAAGCCAAGATGGTATAGCTGTGCAGTAAATATGCATAATCATTTGAGAGTAAGGAACATATGTTTAAAGCATGCTTGTTTAACATTTTCTTCAATAAATATCTACGTTTCTATTTGCAGGCTGAAATTGACCTTCTCCTGTATGATGAATATGGAAAAATATCCCCTGGACCGACAAGTCTGCAGTATCGAGTTGGCTTCATGTAAGCAATATTTCATTTTTTGCCAGTTTAAGGGACACTGACTACAACATTAGCGTCAAATGCCAGAGTATTGTGTCACTAATGTTTACTCAATCACGGTGTCTCCTCACTCTTAATGAAGCTAAAACATAAACAGCGTACCAGGAGTATCACACCTTATCCTTACATTTTTTTTAAAGAAAACCTGAACGTAGATTCGGGCTTAGCTTAAGTTATTCATTGACCTATCGGCTGCTCTTTTCAAACCATGCTAACAAATATACAAATTCGATTAAAGAAAAAGTCAAAGTAAACATTTCTGAAATTGGAAAACAGCGCGCTAAAAGACGAAGACGACGAGAGAAGAGCACAGGACAAGCGCTGACTATCAACTGAAGTTTTATTAAAAACGGCTCAAACAAGAAAACACCACACAGAAAACAAACACCGAAACAACCAATGGCGTGTAGCTCACCAGTCATCTATATAATCTATCTCTTTTTTGTGAAGATAAACAGAAGGTTCGCTGACGCAGTGCCCCGCGCCAGCTTTTTCGATAGCATGCGCCTCCAGCACCTCTCTTTGCACTTTTGTGCGCCCCCTGGCAATGATTAAGGTATTTTGGAAGACGGGGTGACACTGGCAGTCTCTGCAATGTACGTACAAGTGACCTCCGGTCATTGACCGCAGGGAATTTGCATGCTTACGCATTCTCTCGTTGACGCAGCGTCCCGATTTTCCTATGTAAATACGTCCGCATATACGTACAAGTGACCGGAGGTCACTTGTACGTACATTGCAGAGACTGCCAGTGTCACCCCGTCTTCCAAAATACCTTAATCATTGGCAGGGGGCGCACAAAAGTGCAAAGAGAGGTGCTGGAGGCGCATGCTATCGAAAAAGCTGGCGCGGGGCACTGCGTCAGCCAACCTTCTGTTTATCTTCACAAAAAAGAGATAGATTATATAGATGACTGGCGAGCGACACGCCATTGGTTGTTTCGGCGTTGGTTGGCTGTGTGGTGTTTTCTTGTTTGAGCCGTTTTTAATAAAACTTCAGTTGATAGTCAGCGCTTGTCCTGTGCTCTTTTCTCGTCCTCTTCTTCTTTTTGCGCGCTGTTTTCCAATTTCAGAAGTCATGAACCAACTCGCTTGCATCGCCACCTTAATACAAAGTAAACAGTCTGCAATGTCTCTGGCTACGGTAATGTAAATATAAAACATTTCACGTCGATTAAAAAAACAGGCTAGAAAGAACACGCTTCCTTTCTTAGACGTGCTAAACCTTTCACTTGTTCTGCTCCAGCCTAAAATAGGGTGCGGTTATAGTTACACTCCGCCTTCGTATTTATTATCTTCTATTAAACGTTGTCTCGTTGTTTCTTTTCAAAACTACTCACATTAACAATAAAATTATCCTCACTGACAAAATATATTAACTCAATTTTGCGCCACAAGATGAATAGGTCAACAATACCTAAAAAACAAGTATTTCAGGCATTTAACGCACCCTAGAGTATCAACAGTTAGAAAACGTTTTTTTTTTTAATTTTGAGAGTAAAATGTTTTTTTTTTTTTAAATACCATGTCCGGTTGACGTTCATCTGAACCACCAAGCGACGTCATTTTAATAGGAATGCTCATGTTCGCATATGTACATGTTCCGCTCTATGTTGCATCGGTGAGTAACGGAGCCCAACTCCTAGTTGTGGCCAAACCTTTCTCACTCTAAGTTTTCAATAATTTGAGTAAACATACTTAAGTGGGACCCTTTTTTGTCCGTGAAAGCCAGGAGCGTAATTATTTTTCGCGCATTCACGCCTAGACTTAGTCCCTTTTCTTGGAATATATCAACATCTGCAACGTTTTGATTTCACGAACTTGAGATAGAGTGCTCTTGATTATGTGGTCATGCTACAATGTCTAATACCTATAATACGCCCAACTGTTGTCGACGTTAGAAAGCTCGCGCTGGGAGCAGGACAACCGAAGATCGTCTCCGTCCTTCTTGCCTTGTCAGATAAGATTGAAATGAGGATAGAACAAGAAATCCGCAGCTCTTGTCTTCTGTATGCGATATTGCTAAATCCAGGGCGCAGTATACCCAATTTTTCTTGAGTGGGTCTTAACATAGTGGTGTCTGTGTACAGATATCCTTTAAATACTCTGCGAAATTGAGGATGTTCTGAAACAGTCTGCATAATTTAAGTATAGAGGCGGTCAAATATACGGGCTATAGTCCATAAATAGCAGCGTTCAGCATTGTGAATATTTTTTTTCACATTTATGGTGATAGAATAATACATTAAAAACCTGGATGTTTACGCAGACCAAATGGGAACCAAAGCGGCCTAACTGATTACGTTCCTAACTCTGTAGCCAAGAAAAAGAGATATCATGGCTGGCATGAGAGGTGTTTCCACACCCACTCAGTCACAATAGGCAACGAGAAGTTGAGAACGGCACGAAGGAGTTTTTGCATGCTTCGCGAATTGCTTGATTACTCATTCACTTTTTTTAACAATGCTACTCGTGTTCATAAATATGTATCGGGAAATTTACAGCAAGGTGAGGGTCAGAAACGGCATAAGGGCAAAATTATCAAAGTATGTTTTAACGGAATTTTTATACATATGAGGGTGAAATGGAACGGCTTCCGAAGTAAAAATATATTCAAAAAACTTATGTCCATCTGCATTGCGTCAAGCGATTGCCAACCAACTATGTACCGTCCTTTGGAAGCTGATATTTTTGTTTCGAATTCTTGATGACTTTCTTTGATTCGTTTCAAACTTCGTCCGCGGGTTCAATTATCAAGAAAATGTAAATTGCCTGCGGCGATAAGTTCGTCCCCATATGTAACCAAGCACAAGCGACATTGTGGTGCAAAAAGTATGTGACCATCCTTGCTGCCCCTGCGGCAGAACCAGAAGTTTTTCTATTCTTAAATAACTTATACGTCGCCGTCACAGTAGGCCAATAAAGCACAACTAAATACGAAGCAGCTTAATGTTCATACTTCATTTGAGATTAAGGAGTCTGCTTCTCCGCGATGTCTTTACATTAATACTCTAGGCCTGTGATAGCTTAGAGCCATTATCCACAAACCTACTGGTCCAGCAGGATCCGCATGGATTTTTCAAACGAATGAAACCTTTATGTTTGATAGAAAACGTATGTTTGATACTACCAGTTATGTCTAGGAGCATCCTGAGCGTTAAGCCGAAATACACCTCTGCAGAAAACGTTGGTCAGAGCGCAGATTATCCTTTTCTCGGTTAGGCAGACGTCGTCGTGTGACGCGTATGATTTCAATGCGAATACTCATATCGCGCATAAACAGAATCACGTGCGACCTCATTAACCCGTGTTCGTCCGCATTTAAATTGATGCTAAAGAAAATGGAAAGTCGCGATAGGTTGTTTCGCAATATTGACATCTTCTTTGACTTGTATAGCATCAACAGTGGTAGGAGATTCGTAGATTATTCGAGAAAATTACGTCCTGGCCTTTATTTGCCGTGAGAAGGGCCTGCATGCTTGCCATCAAGCCATTGCGATCATGTTTGTGAATCTTATGAAATTCGATTTAACACTTCTTATAAGCGCACCAATTATCTAAGTGCCCCATTAATTGGGCTCGTGCTTTTATTGCGCATTGGGCACGAGTGTTGCATCACCTTTCGGCGAAAAGTCAGATCCAATCACTTGCTTTGTGCCACCAAAAATGGCGAATCTGAATGTCGCTTGATGGACTTTTGAAGTGGGCCTATTGGATAATTTACTAATAGCCTAGGATTTGGGTGATCTTTTTTTTGTGAACAAGGGAGGAACAGATGTTTTCCAAGATTTCTTTGCATTTATCTTTTATGAGTAAATGTAGTGGCAATTGTTTTATGATTTCAATGCGTTTTCGTAGTTATCACGACAGGGGTCGTACAGAACATCTGTCACAAAGTGCATTTTTTGAAATTTACAAATAAAACAAATTTCGCATTACTAGCTTGAATCAACGTCAATTGTCATCATCTAGTTTACTGCGGCAACGCTGAGACGGGTGTATTTCGTTGTTATTAATAAACCATCGTGTGAAGCTATGTTGCCCAAGAGAGCCAAGCTGGAAATGTAGACAGCAGCCGCAAAACACTCCTCTTTCAGAGCACGCCGATGTTGCCGCTAGCGTGTGTGGATTCATTTGGAGCGCCTCGTCCTGTTTACTCTCGTCTTCGTCCTGTCGTTTTTTGGCGCTGTATATACTGATCATGAACCAACTTGCCCAAATTTCTACTTTGCTCATTTGGAGTGCCCGGTAATAACCAGATTCTCTTGCGGAAGGCGAGGGGATCGGCATTGCCAAACGGGTGCCATATTTAGGCTTCGCTGCTAGTAGTTGGAATGTCATCTTGCAGTTTTGGGTCAAGTCTGGCACTCAGGCAATTATGTGCCGAGCCAAAGAAAAGCCATAATAACGGCAAAAAACGTACCCTTTCACTAACTACCACCCGGGAGAAAAGCCGTGTTAGGTACACGGTAGCCCCTCAGGATTGCAAAGCGTGTGCAAAGTTAGGCATGCAACCTGCTGTAGTGCTGCCTGTGTAGGCACCTGGGATACGCGCCAATAGCATGCGGCAACACAATCTTTGGGAACCACAGTGCTATAGATCAGTTTTGTTTCTTCTCGTCTCCTGCCACGAAGTTTACGTGTCATGTATGCCGAATACATAAGCAAATATAAATGAAAACCTGGAGCGAGTAATAAACATAAAATAGGTACAAAAATACTGAGTGACAGGCAGAATTAAAGCGTGAAAATCTTCGAATGGCGTGGTGAGAGCAAACAGATGTTTTACCCCATGCCGAAAGGTCCGCGACTGAACATTGCCCTACCTCTGTGGAATATGTCTATAGTATAATACTAGAGAATTACCCAAGAAACATTTTCTTTTGGAAATGGTTGGATATTAATTAACAAGGGGACCGATTTCCATTCGAACGCTTTTTTTTTGGAAAGGGGGTGGGAGTT